TGGCCAACACTCATAACATGGTCAAGAAAAACTGTTTCTGCCATCCATTATTTAACTACGGGACAACCTCTGTGCAGTTGCTTACACTGCTGAATCTCTTTTCTGGGATGTAAAGGTTACTTAGCTACAGCATGGCAGCTCAGTTCAGTGGTAACCTCCGGATGGAGGAACATCGACACAGAAGCAGTGTGCTGCTGATGCCAGACCAAGAATAGGCTTCAGTTCCAAAACTATATCATGGTTTATATTAAAATCCCCATCCAATTAACTCCCAAACCTCATGAAAAGTTATCAGTTCACAGTTAATATTGCTCTCCTGGAGCGCAGTGGTCACAGCGGAGAACAAAGGAACTCATTTGGTCAGGGGCCATGTGAGGACATTTTTTATTACAGAAATGTAAAATCTAAGCAGATGCACCAGTCCCATTGATAGATGAGGAACTGAAACATCAAGATGCAGAGACTGACTTGGGTCCACAGTGTAAATGGGTGACGTTCTGAAGTCTCAGGCACTTAAGTGCTGCCAGGAGTAGAATATATTTCCCTTCCATACACAAATAAGATTGGCAACAGTAGCAGATTCCCACCTGCAGTTTTCAGAATTCATCAGCTTGTCAAAAGCCAGCTCTGAGATCTGTACCTCTGTAGGACCTCATTTTTTATGATACAATTCCAACCACTTAAAAGGAAAGCGCAAGACACGGACAATACATAGGGAATTGTCTGGAATGAGTTCTGACAGAACATGTCCATAGGATACTACATCAGTGCAGTTAGTGTCCTTTTCAGACAAATCAGTATATTTAGTAGAATCAATGAAAATATTCAAAAGAAAACTCTATAATTATAAAAATTATTATTCATTTAATATCACAATGCTCTCACTCTCAATGACATTCTGTAAGCAGAGAATTCTATAAATATACTCTGTGCACATAAAACTTGCACTTTTTCCATTTGTATTTCCATTTCAGGAGGTGATTCCTTATTCCTGTACACAGGGGTGTAACCAACTGCAATCTAGAGGATTGTGAAAAAAAGAAATGGTCACCCACACTGCAAAATAGAAAAACAATTACATAAAACCAGACAAACACAGCATAGATTGTAGTTTATAACATATCAAATGTCAAGCACACAGGGTGAAACGGAAAAAGCTAAAGCAACAAACATCCATGAATAAGTTTAGATCAGAAATTAGAGTAAAACTTTGAACAGACAAGCAGTAAAAAGCAGTACCAGCAGCACATGAACAAGCTTTGGAGGGCTGGCACTGATGTTTTATGAATCAGCTGCCTAAACTAAAGTAGGAGATAGCACAAGATGACACAGATGTCCCCTCTAGTCCTAGATCTTCAAGAGTAGCTATCTCTGCTTTACCTAGCAGATCTCTCTTCAAAGCAGGTTTTCTATCCCTTGTGAAACAACAGCTACTACCACAGGAGAGAACCAAGATTTGCTGTTAGCAGGGGTGGTAACGGATGAATGAGCACTTGTGGACACAACACACGGCACAGATGTTATTCAAACATACTCCTTACACACTTCATCTTTAAGGATATTCTATGTATAGAGGTACCACTATCTATGTATAAAAGCTTCTACTTTTTCAGATAAATTCAATCAGATAATACCCATTGCTCAAATTAAGTTTGTAGATCACTATAAAGTATTATTCTTTTCCATACAGCTGCTAAAATACAACTTACTTCCTTGACAAAAACAACCCTTTACTGAGCCCAGGCAATTAAGCACTAGCAATACTGAATTTCCTTCTACGGCTCTGCCAAGAATAAATCTCCTCCAGTGTGTATCAGAAAACATAGGAATAAAATCACATACACCCTTAATATACTGTGTGTCTTCATATCAAACCAAAACAAAGCATTGAAGGCACCACAAGAGCTGTATGTAGGTAGGATATCCTCTATTCACTGACTCACCAATCTCGCTGTAAGAAAATGTAGGTCAACCCAGAAAGATGTTTTGCAGTTTTTCCATCTTATAGTCATCTTTTTCCTTCTTTCTAAATATTTGTGAAACTCCCCAGTACTGAAAAGTATCAGCATAGGAGAGCTGGAGCCCAACAGCACTGAAGACTCAGTTTGACCAAATGCATTTTATAGCAAATGAAGCCCACAGGTGTATTCACTACCAGCTGACAATGATTTCAAAACTATTAACTGCAATAAGAGGGTGATGAAAAAGGTAAAGACTACCCTAAATTGTACCAGAAAGACATAAAAGAGAAAGAGTCGCCAGTGCTTTTTTCTAAAACAATGGTGTGTTACACAGCAACGTGAGTAACTTTGGTCATCCATCTGAAAAACAGGTTAATGTCAGCTGGAATATTCTCTGAGATGGTTTCCTGAAGTGTTTATATTAGGCAAGATTGTAAAAAAAGTGCCTTCTTTGACCTAAAAAGTAAAGGAAAAGACAATGACAGCACTCTGCAAAGACATCAAGGCTAAACACTAGAGAGGGAGATGAAGTGTCTAAACTAAAGCAAGGCTTTGGCACAAGGACAAAAGGGATTATACCTGCTATGAATACATTCAAACTGGAACTAGAAAGTGTCTAGCCATCAGAGCTGAGTATGGTGTAGCCTCACAGTGGGAATAACATAAAGAAAATAACCTAATTAGTTTTAAGACGGAGATTGAAAAGTTTAAGAATGTCTCAACAGCAGGGGACTGGATTTGGGAAGTGCCTTTTAGTCCTGTGTTCAAGGAGGAAGACTGATCAGAGAAACAACCAGAACCTATCTCTGCATAAATTCCCTTTCAGAAGCATTCTTGCAAATCACTCTCATCAGGTTTAATTTTTCACACCTTTAGTTCACAAACATCATCACAGATTCCTGCAAGTGCCAGATACCTGTGTGTACCTGACTACAGGTTAATATCTGGAGTTATTAACTGAGCCTCTATTTTGCCACTGATATACTTCAACCACTCTTACTAGGGATAAGAAGCACTGTAGCAATAATATGGCAGGAAAAGTGAACAGGATTTGGGGTGGGTTTGGACACCCATGCAGGTGTTAGCACACAAAGTGACACATACTATAACTGTAGTAAACCTGGTATAAAACTTGAATTAAACTATTTGTAAATATTATTGTTTTTCTTCCATGTACCATCCCTTCACAATGATGCAAATGCAATTTTAAGGCCATTTCTACATAAAAATGGGTTAAACCAGAAAAAAAGTTTGTTGTTTTTTTTTAAATTTATTTTATTCTGAAGAATTTGCTCAATCACTGTCATTGAAACAAGAAACACCACAGAAATTACAAAAGAAAATACAGGAACATATGGGAATTAACACACTTCAATACACTTCAGTGTATTCCCAAAATGCCAGAAAAGAGCTGCTATGGCATGCAAAGAGAAATCCTATCTCCACTGAAGCAATACTGTAGTCTTGATAAACATTCACCCTGGAACTGTATTCCCAATTAAAGAGGTGCATCATTAACTACAACAAGCAGTAAGAGCTCTGAGAGGGGTTGCCTCAGATGAACAGGAAAAGAATTAGCAGATGATTGTCACTTTGTTTTTCTTTTACACTGCATATGGATGCGTGATTGCCACTATGACTTAAACCTCTTCCATCATCAAGTGTGACATCTATGCATGATTTTGCAAAATTAGATCTTTCTCTCCTACACCAACAGCATTTTTCTTTCCTCAGAAATCACCCAAAGGTCATCTCCCCAAACCTACCAGGGCTCTGATTTGGTGGTCTTTTACCCACATACCAGCTTTTACTCCCCAGCATATCAACCTTGGTCGCGTGCGTTGACCTGAACTCCTCAAACTCAGAAAGCCAAGCACTGTCAACCCTCCAACCAACACGACCAACATACCAGCTGTGCAGACACAACAATGGAGTGACCAGAGGCTCTCTTTGTAATTGCTTTTCACTCTCAAGAGTGTGCCCACACCCCTCCCAGCACTTCTCAGAGGCACAGACCATGCCTGAGTGTGCAGAGCTCTGCCAAAAGGAAGCAGAGAGAGCCACACGCATTGTGCCAGGCAAAGGGCCCTGTCTGGGAGCAGCCATGAGCCAGCAATGCTGCTCCCACATCCACGTCCACACAAGGTGGGAAGGAGCCATGCCCACTCATTGTCCCTCATAGAATCCCAGTTGGAAGGGATCTCTGGAGATCATCTTGTCCAATCCCCCCGCCAAGGCCGGGTCACCCGGAGCAGGTGACACAGGAAGGCATCCAGGTGGGGTCTGAATGTCTCCAGAGAGGGAGACTTCCAGGACCATCCTGGGAAGCCTACTGCAGTGCTCTGCCACTCTCAATGTAAAGTTCTTCTTCACGCTGCAGTGAAACTTCTTGTGTTCTAGTTTATGGCCATTGCTCCTCGTCCTGTCGCTGGGCACCACCGAAAAGAGTCTTTCACCATCCTCTTGGCACCCGCCTTTGACATACTCATATGCATGAGATCCCCTCAGTCTTCTGTTCTCCAAACCAAACAGCCCAGCTCCCTCAGTCTCTCCTAAGAGATGTCCCAGACCCCTGATCATCTCCCTAGATGTGCTGTTTAGAGACACTCAACCCTCCTCCCTGCCCCTGTCCCTACAGACGAGCTGCGAGACGACCCGGAGCGACACGGGGGGCACCTCTTGCTCAGGGCACCCCTTCTCTTCACCCGCTGCAGGCTCCTGTGCACCTGCCTCAGCCCATCCGGGGCCGGGTGGGCACCTCCCCAGCTGCCCGGGGCAGCAGGAACGCGGCCCTCGAGCCCGAGGATGGAGAGCGGGGCAGCCCTGTCCCCTCATGACGGGCTCCCCCGCCCCCCCGCCATCGCCGCGTGGCGGGGTCGGCGCGGGGTGATGACGCCATCTTGGGCAGCCCCGCGATGGCGGCCCGGGCTGAGCCCGCGGCCCCCGGAGGCGCTGACGGGGCTGGGTGGCATCCGCGGGGTGTTTGCGCCTCGTACGGGGCAGCTGCGGGTCCTGAGAGCTCCTCCAGCCTCCCCGTCCGCCCCAGCGCCTCTGCTCTCCCGGCTTCATCCGCCTGCCCCGGGCCTTTCCCCGGGGCGGCGGAGCTTGCCTGGGCTGTGCCGGGGCACTGCTGCCGCAGCGCCCTGCGGCGGCCCCGCGGTGACAGAGGGGCCAGAGCCGGCCAGGGAGCTGCACTGGGCCTTGGCGCGTGTGGGGTGTGTGTCACAGAGCTCGTGTTTTCTTGTTAGCCAGCAGATCCCCCCCCTACACTCCGTACAGCCATGCAGGAAAGGGTTTGGCATCTGAAGGAAGTGGGTTATCAGAGCAGTTACCAAATGTACGGTGCTGAGCTGGGGGTTAAACAGGGAGATCTAAGGCACTGTGGGCATGGAGTGTGAGGCCTTTTTAAAACACCTCTGTTGGAAAAAACATAAGGCAGGAGATGGCAATAGTTTAACTTGGCATAGTTGCCAGTCTACCTGCAGCAATCTAGGAAAATACAGCAGGAATAAAAGACTGCAAGGCAAATAGCGCTCTTGATTTTGTTGTCCCTGAGCCTTGATCAGCACTGAGTGTCCTCCAGGGGAGAAATGAAAAATCATCCCATATACTGGCATGACCTGCCCTCGGCCCAGTGTCACCCTGTGCCTCATGTCTGCAGACAGGTTGGGTTACCCCCTGGAATAGCCCTTGACATCATGACAGGGGCAGGATCCTGATGGAACAACTGCTCTGCAGTTGACTTTATTTCCACCATCCTATGTTCTATTCAAAGACAGACCCTCAGTGAAGAGTTTTGTTTTGATTTTTTTTTTCTTCTGGGAAAAACTCAAGACTGTCCATAGATTTTGATTGCTGTGAAAATCTATGTGAATTAAAGGCGGCTATATGGAGGCAATCTCTGCCTTTCACACACACACCTCTGTATGGCTTTTGCAAAATTAGCCTTTATGATAGTAAATCTTTCACCACTGTCACAGCATTTATGTCCTGAGATCTTCTGGAAGCCGGGGCTTGGCAGAAAACATTCCCAATATAGTGAGACATTTGCTGGAACTTATCACTGCAGATTGTGTTGTTCTCAAATCTGAATTTTCTTTGTCAGAACTGTCCACAGAAGTGCTCTGAATCATATTTGTTTCTACACACCTCTGGGAAGCTGGGCAAAACCCACTCCCTCAGCCAGGCATGTTGGACAAACTTGTTTCTTCCTGCTGGATTTTACAACCACAAACAAGGCTTGAAAACAAAACAAAACAAATCAAAAAACTCACCAGCAACACCAGCAGCCCTGCTCTGAACATGTGCGATGCTTCCCTGGATCCCTGTTCATTTCCAGGAGTGAAACTCAGACACACCAGTTCACTGCTGTCCTGAAGTGTGTGGAAGCTTTTTTTTCCCTCTCCCTCCTTTTCTTTTCCCTCCTTCCTTGTGTTGATTTGTGGGACCAGAATGACTTTGATTTCAGCAAGTTTGCTGTTTATTCACGTCACAAGTTTGACAGCTTTACACCAAATCAGATTGCTGGGTTTCAGGAGAGCTCTGAGGCGTCACTGGGAGCTCCTTTAGATTAAACTCGCCTCCCCGGTCTCCCCCCTCTCCCCCTCCTTCAGAGCCTTTTAAACCTCTCTAGGGCTTTAACAGAAACGTGCTCCCAAGACCTGCATTTCATTCTGCCACTAATATGGTAAGTGCTCTTTGCATTTCTCTCGACCTCGAGGCAGAAAACAGAAGCTGGTCTCTTTGCCTTGGGGGCTTGCAGTACATTTTGTGCCCTCTTTAAGATGGGGAAAAAAGAGTGCTCTCCTCCACCTGCAAGAGCAGTCTCTGCTGCTGTGCCTTCCCATGGGTGAGCAGATTCCCTCTTTGAGGCTCCAAGCTCTGCCGTTGCCTTGCAGATATTTAGAGCTGCTGCAGATGGGGCTTATTTGGAGGAGTGGAAAAGGGTGAATCCAGAGCCAACCCCAGGCTCTGCGGTCTGGGACTCCTGTAGAACTGCAGGGGCAGAAGAGAGTGCGAGCAGCCTGGAGGTGACTGCAGGCTCTGTGCTGCTGCTTTAGAGCTGAATCAAACCTCCAAAGTGGCAGGAACGGTCTGGCCAAGGACAGCCTGGGACCTCCCTTCACCCTAAACCCACTCAGCACCGTAGTATTTTCCAAGGGATCGCAGGAAACTCGGCTACCTCCCTGGCACAGCTCTGCTCGGAGCCCCTGTGCCGCCGGGGGCTGCGGCGGGGCGGCTCTGTCCGCGCTCAGCAGAGAGCGGGGCCGTGCGGGGCCCCCGGGCGGGCAGAAAACAAAAGGGGGGAGCGGGCACCCGGGTCAGGGCTGGGAGCGCCCACGGGAGCAGGCGGCGCCTATCCCGGGACAGGCACCTGAGCACAGCCCGGCCGGGACAGGAGCGAGGGGAGCGCTCGCCGGGGCCGGGCTGACACCGCCTCCCTCGGGGGCTGGGGAGGGGGCACCGCCGTCCCCCGGCCAGCGCCCCATCGCCTCGGCCCCTTCCCTCCGCAGAGCACCGGCCGGCCGTGCCCGGAGCCGGACTTCGCCGGGGGTCCGGGCAGTGCCTGCCCCTGGTCCGCCCCCGCCGGTGTTTCCAAGGAGACCTGGGCCGCCGTCTGCGCCGCGGAGCCGCCGCACAGCCAGGGCCGGCGGGAGGCTCGGCTGAGCCCGGGTGAGTGCGGTCCCGGGAGCGGGGCTCCCGCCGCCGGGCAGGGCGAGGGAGCGGGAGCGGAGCGGGCTAACCCCGGCTCTGCTCCCCCAGGCCAGTTCTGCAGCCCGCAGCTCGGTGCCCAGGACGCGGCGTGGCAGGGAGACCAGCTGTCCTCCCAGCTCTACAGAAACAAGCAGGTAAAGGCTCTGCGCCGCCCCGGCAACGCGGGTTTCACCCCACGAGGTTCCTGAACTTTGTGTCCCGTATCGCACCTTCTGGGTTGGTTTGTGAGGTATCTCCCTCTCTCTTGCACAGTTGTGGGAAGTGACAGAAAACCGCTCTATTTGTTGTTCCTTGCTTGAAGTATTTGTCTCCCCTGTGTTGCCCTGTGAGGTTGGAACAGCTGTTGTGGGGTTCCCTATGCGTCCCTCCTCTCTTACTGCTTATTGCACCTTGGCACTAGAGAAGACCAGGAGCATGACCAGGAGGTCCCTCGGGCTCTGATGGTGCTGTTTTCCAAAAATATGTAGTGTGTCCTCCTGGTTCAACCAGGTTTAACTTAATGAGAAATGATTCCACCAGAATTGCTGATTCCATGGAGGATCAGCCATTTTGACCAACAAAAGATTTCCTGGTTATTTTATTTTCTCTCATTTTTCCTTTTTTATAATTCCCAACAAGGAGCAGGAGAGACTCTGAACAATTCTAGGTGAAGGAACTCCAGACTGATGACTCTGATCAAGAACTTGGAATGATGTTTTGACACAGTGAAGTCAATGAAAAGTCATTTATTAACTTAATCATCAACTCTAGTTCCAGATGCCAGTGTACTTCTTTCTCTGGCTCTACCTCAGTCATTTGAGGCTGGTGCTTCACAGCCTCTGCTCAGCAGATGCCTGGGGTCCTTAGCAGAAGATCCTTTGTCCTCCTAAAGAAGTCTCCAGATCTGTGATCAGAGGGCAAAAATCTGTCTGCAAACACATAGATTTCCCATGAAAAAGGGTTAGGCATCTGCCATTCTTGTTCAGCTCTAGGGAGCAGGAATTAGCTTTGTATATGTACCAGGACTAGCACAGTAGGGTCCAGAACTGAAGGGATAACTGCATCCTACTGAATCATAAAGAATGGCAACTGCATCTTCCCTCTGCACTCTACTCCCATAAATTGTTAGTCTGCAACTCCTCCTCCTTTCTTCTCACCAGCCAACTATAAAGGGGAATGAGGGATGCAAAGAGATGTTTACTGCCACTCAGAAGGAGATCCTGCAGCTGCTGTCATGCCCATGACGGTTTCTGGCTGCTCACAGGACTACCTGTAATTCTATTTTCTATTATTATTCTGTGGTTACAGGTTTTTTCAAAGTAATCTTCTCAAACACTCACTAAAGATTAAAGGAAGTTAAAAGTGAAAACTGAACATTCATGCCACTTAGATTTATAGAGACAAGAGGCTGGAGGGGGTGTGTTGAGCTCACAAAGCAAACACCCACATCATCAAATCCAAGCAGCCTGTACCATAGGGCAGTTGCTATTAAGTTACAGAGTCAACATCTATTCATCAGTATCTCTATTCCACAGCTTCAAGATACTTTGCTTCAGAAGGAAGAGGAACTTGCTAGGTTACATGAAGAAAATAATAACCTCCGACAGTACCTGAATTCTGCCCTGATTAAGTGTTTAGAAGAAAAAGCCAAGGTATTGTGTTCAAACGTGTTATATAGATGTGTGCAGAAGGAACAGTTTAAATAGCTACAGGCCATTAAAATATATGGAAAATCAAAGAGTGCAGACAACCAGCAGTGTGAGATTTAACTTCACAGAGCTGCCAAATTGCTGGTCATGGATCTAAGGTGACAGTTTCCTCCAGGAATGATATCCTGTAAGTTTTGACTGTGAAGACAGTATAGCCCATGGCATAATTTAATTAATTAGTTATAAGTAAGGGTTATAAACAAGGTAAAATTATTCCATCTAATGCCTTTTTTCAGTAAAAAGGATAAAATTTGAATACATATTTTTTTAATGTGCCTGTTTTGTCAGTTATCCCTTTGATAAAGATTGTTTCCCTTTTTTATGGTTATTTTTTTGTGATTTCTGGTTTATGTTTTGTCTTGTTTTGTTTGATTTTCCAGTGATATGTTTTTATTAATTTACATTAGAATAGTGAGCTATATTTTTTTCCAATTTATTAATTAAAAAGTTATGTGGCGTTTTTGTAAAGGTGAAATACAAAATGAAACATTTCACGTTGGATGAAATATTCTGTTAGACTAAGTATGAAAGGATTTTTTAAATATTTGGATTCTTTGTCTCTCATCTTAAAAAAAAATAAGGATATTTGTTCCTTGTCAGCTTAATGACATTTTTTATTATTCCAGTCAGTTATTCAGTAGTAACCATCTTCTACATCTAAAATCTGAGGTCAGAAACATGTTTCTTTCAGGTATCTAGAAAATCAGATTTTTATGTTCTCTCTCTACCTTTTTGTTTGTTTGTTTTAATAGAAACTGCTATCCTGCCATGGACAGAAAACCTGTGCTATTCTCAAAAGTGCCAAGAGGAGATTAAAAGAGGACCATTGCTTTGTTCCTCAAGAAGCTCCTCATGCTTCCAAAGCTAGAAGGAACCTCTTAGATGAATTCACTGCCTGTGAAGAGCAGGCCAGCCCTGCCGTGGACAGCTGGGTCTTGCAGACCTTAGGATTAAAAGATGTCAACACCATTGATGAAGCTTCAGCTAACTACAGTGCCCTGTCCTCAGACCTTGGAAAAGACCCGTACTGCCTGAGCCCTGGTGAAGCAATAGACTATGAACACAGTGAAGGAGCAGCAGCAGCATTTAGCTGCAGCCACGTGCCTCCAGCTGACAGCAGTGCCCATCCATGCAGTGAGGACTCTCCCTTCCTTCCTCAGTTTCCTTCAGCACCATGCATCTCCTCAGCAGTACCTAGTGTTTCCTCCCTCCCAGTGTATGGGTTGCCTTATTTGCCTGGTGATTTGTCACCCAACAAGACTGAAGTGGCCTTCACAACTTCTCTAAGTCCCCACCGCAATGTGAGAACACACACCTTCCACCAAGGACAAGCCTTTGTGCGCAGGGATGACGACGGAGGATGGAGATTCACCTGGGTGCCCAAACAGGCTGAATAACGCACCTGGATCAAGGGTCAGCCATAGGGGGTGTAGGAGACACACTTCACCTTGTGCCTGAGACAGGTTCAGGTGTAAAAAATTAACCCCTCTGGGCTTCGTTAAATGCTACTCTGTCACTTACCCGATCCTCATTCCCTCCCAGATTTTCACAGGTGTGACTCCAGATTGCACTTGGACAATTATCTGCCCCAGGCCAGATGTACAAATTGGATTCCCTTGTCTTGTGCCTGTGTTGAGATACCTGCTTTTACTTGCTTCCTGGTTTTTCTATCATCAGCTATTCCTTGTTACTGGTAGTTTCCAGGCTGGAGTGCTTTCAGCTTTGATGATCACTCTCACATGCACCAAACTGGAAAGCATTTTGGGTTACTGTTGGGAAATAGCACCTCTCTCATGGATATCCACGGATAACAAAGGAGGCATAGGTTGGAGACTGGGGATCAGGAATTTCTAAGTGATTTATATCTGTCTTAACTGCACAGATTGCCTTGGATTTAAGTACCCATGGTTGCCTTATGTGCTACACAAGGCTGACCTATCTGCAGATCCGTGGTGCTGTCACATTCTTTGATGATGCCTCAAAATAAACAGGGTTTGCTTCTATTGCCTGGAGGCTATTTAATTGCAAGTGATTCAGTGAGTTCAAGGGATTTTTCTAAGGTGTGATTAAGAGACTAATATGTTTACTAATATGTTTTAAAGGTATTTTGTCAGTTAGATAAAGGGACTTTACCTTTGGGGAGGCAATATCAGTGGCTGGAGTGAGTCTTTGGGAACCACAGCCTTCTTGCCTTTCCATGTCTCTGCGAGGGAGTGGTGGGCTCAAGGTAAGACCATCACTACCTTGAGAATGCTTTAAAACTCTCTGAAGAGAAGGTGCTCTAGCACTGCACAGAACTTGACTTTTAGTAATGCTACTAATGATATGAAGTCAACAGATATGAAGGAAGCTCACCAGTACTGTTTTGTGTTACCTTTGTTTTCTGTTTTACAGTAATTTGGTGCCTAAATATTCAAAATAGATTGATTTGGTTATTCATACTTTCAGAATGGTGTCAGTGACGTTAAGGACTTAAGTACAAAATAACCACAACTGAGAATTTCCTTCCAGTGGCTTATTTTCCTATAGAAAAATGGGTATTCCTTTATTTTTACCTCCTAAATAGCCTGTCGTGCCTTAGAATATGTGACATACTCCATCAGGAGCAGTGATGATTTTCCAAAAGACTTTTAAATAAACAAACTCTTTATTTCTGGGCAGTTACTTTAAAGTAACTGTGGCAGATTTCCAGAATAGGCAATTAGAAAGCACTGACTGTAGACATTATTGCACTGGATTAAAAAAACAACCAACCAAAAAAAACCAAACCAACCACAAACGCACACAACAACCACCACAAAACAAAACCACAAAAAAAACCCAACAAAAAACCCTCAAACCCCGAAACAAATGATGCACATGGAATAAATACAAAGTCTTCGTTTGGGAAGTTTGTTGTAGTCCATGAAATTATGACCAGCTGATGAAGACTAGTCAAATAAGACAACTGTTTCTGTAGCACTTTTCTGCTTTTCAGTGAAAGCAGAAGAAAAATCTTGTCCTACAAACAACTCATTTCTTTCTCAAGGCATTTCATTTCTATTAATCTCCTCTTGCTCCACTATATAGGATAACACTGAAGAAAACACTTCTGTCACAGGAGTTTTTATTGGTGTGTGTGGTAGTGTAGAAAATACGTGACCTTAACATGAGTGTGTGATGAGACACCCTGGTATATGTGATGTGGGAGATGCTGGGAATAGACTGTGTGACTAGAGGATTACACCCAATTGCAGCTGTGGGTGTCACATCTTTTAAAACAGCTGTAAAACATAGGTAGAGAAACATCTGTGTTTTCTAACACTGTTAAATGGTATTACTTAACAAATTTCAATGCTATGGAGTCAGCAGTAGTAATAAGTACATTTGTCCTGTCAACAAATATTGAATCATTTTTTTTCTCTGAAGAGAGAGAAAAACTTTCCATTTGTTTGACATTTCCTTTCCACATTTTTATATCACTGCATATGAGAACTTCTCCTGCAGACAGACAGAAGTGTCAGATCTTTGATACAATCTTGAAGTAGGGTTTCAGTAGGAACAAACAGATGCTTCAGCCTTTGCCAGACTTTTGTAAAAGGGTGATTGTCCCCTTGTCTCATAGCAAATAGGTTATGGATGTAAGGGAATGATGTACGTGAATGAATCCTCTTTTCCTGTGGGTTCCTGAATTTTACTCTCTATGAAGGAGTGGAGTCCTGTAGGAGAGATTTCTGTCTGAGCCTGGTTTATTTGGGTAGAGAATCCAATGGTGCTGCTCCTGTCAACTCATGGGTGCTCCTGACCTAGATATGCAAACTTAAAATTTTGATGTAGACAACTGCTTGAGCAAAGGTCTGTGTTAATAATGCTGCTGATCACTGGAGCAGAGGGAGCACACTGGAAAGGAAACAGAAGAATCTCCAAAGCATTTTAACATATAACTAAAGGTGATTTGTTTTTCCCTGACAGCACCATCTGAACTAGTATTTCCTGAGTTATTGTGAAGAACAATAAGAACAAGCTACTCTGTGCCTAAAACCAACCCGCAACAGCCCAGTGACTGAACCCTTCCTTTAGATAAATACTGCTCCTATTGCCAAAAGCAAGCCATTACTCAGCATTACCTCACTCTAGACTGCCTGGTTCTTCTGAAGATCCTGCATTTCTGCAGGTAAAATAGATGAGGAAAATTAATAAGAGGCTGAAGACATCTCATGGCAGATTACTTTCAAGTGGTAGGATGTGAGGACAGTTACAGACTGGGCTGGTGCTGGTTTGACATGTTGGTTTGACCTCCCGTGTCCCCGTGATTTCCTTGGGCCTGAAAGCAGTGAAGCTGCATTAATGTGGTGCTGCTTCCATTTTTGTGCTTTTACCTCTTGGTAGGGTTCATGACCTTCAGTGGAGGCTAGGGCTGCAGCAGCAACACTGCTACCAACTTGATATGAGCAAGTCTGAATCCCACTCCTCAACATGTAGGCACACTGTAGATGTTCCTTAGATAGAACTTATGAAAATAAGTCAAAGAAATGGAGGCTAACACACCATCTTTTCCCTCATGAGATAAAATTCTGGAAAATGCTTGCTTGATTTTGATTAGGGTCCAGTTTGCATTACAGTTCTTTGGCCTGCAAATATGTGTGAGGGAAGGTCTTGCTTGTACAAAGTCTAATGAGACTTTGAAATGGGTGTTCAGTCTTGCTTTGTACCTCGTCCTCCCTGTTTGTCCTTTTGTATCCACTCCCAGCAGACAAAGCCACCCTGCTGCTCATGGAATGTGGGAGTTAAAGCCCAGGGAAGTCTGTGACATGCTCCTGTGGCCCAGAGGCAGCTAGAAATCAGTAGGGATGAAAGCAAAAAGTGGAAAAAAAATCCAGTTCTTCACACAGCCATCACAACTAGATAGCCAGGAGACAGCAGAGACAAGTTTCAGCTTGGTACTGTACTTCTAACTCCAAAAAAAAATCAGGCAGCTGGGATAGAGAGGCAGGAGACAGAAGTTCTGGGTTCTGTTACTGCCTCTGGTATTACACTTAGTTTCTGAGCTTTGGTTTCATGGAATCCACCATCAGACCAGCTCATAGCTATTTAACAAAAAATTATTCTTGCTGCTGCAAAGTCCATAAGAAGTTCCCTTTTGCCAAGGGTAAGTACCAGGCCTATACAACTCTGGGAATGGCCATGGGGCCCTAGGAGATTCTTTGAGCAGCAGTGAACTTCGTTGTCTGTAAATATCTGTCTTGCATTAACATAATTTGTTTTATTTTTTTATTTGAAGTTTGTTTTCTTTATTATGTGAATGTAACATGTGCAGCAGCACACTTTAAAACAACCCATGTTTCTAGAAAGGTATACTAACAGAAATGGAAGTTAATTTAACATTTAATATGTTGATGTTCATGATTTTTGTGATTGAAAAAGGCCATAATTATATGTAAATGTCAATTTTACCAGTGTCACTAAGTTATGTCTAATAAAACTTAACAACTAATTGATGCAATTCTTTCTGCCCACTTTACATCCATGAAACCATGCAGCTGTTGCTCACACTGCACAGCACCACACCTGGCACCTACACACTTCTCCAGAGGATTGAAAGGAACCTTTATTTCCTGCAAGCACAAGTGTCCACACAAGGACATACAAATTTTTTTATGATAACAGACCTAAATAAATTAATAGCCACAGGTGTGCTCATTTCAGTCTGGGCTTGCACAGGACATTGCTGTGATCTGTCATTGCTTTCACTCAGATGCCATGCTACAAAATGGTGGAAATATTGTGCTTTTTGTCTGTTATTTTTGCAGCATCTGGCACTCTCATTTAATAGACTTATACCTTCTTTCTTAGTCAACTGAACATCCTGATCCAGGGCAACCTGATTCATCATAGTACTCTGCGTACTCCTGGTTCTGACTCTGAAATTATGAATTGTAACATGGCACTGAGGTGTCACGTAAAGAGACTGAAGATGAGAGAGAAAAGCGTGACTAAAGAATTCAAAGCTCTAGTCAGCTCTACTTAACAACAAAGTAAAGCTGTGTTAGTTATTAACTTCCCCTTCTGATCATGGGCAGGTTTGTTAGTAACCATGCACCAGCTGGGGAGAGAGAGATTTTTCATTGGAATGGAGATTGCATATTGCTTATGGAAAGATACAAAGTGAGCTTTCCTTTATCTCTTTTACCCTCATCTAGAAGCCACAATAAGTCCATGAGATGATTCATAAACACACTGGCCTGTTGCCAGGTAGCTGACATCCTGTCATAAAGAGGGAGCAGTCTATAAATAATTTGTGGAATGAGCTCTGATTCACCTAAAATGCTATCTCTCTAGTCATTTCTCTGCTTCATTACTTGTGCATCACTGAATTATTTCAAGGCTAAATACTTACATGCAGTGCAGCCCAGGGAAATCAATATAATAATGATGCACGAGGAACAGATAATAAAAATCAACATTAGCATGAAGAGCTGGGATATCTGAGGTCCCCATTTCCCCTAATTTATTTTTAAAAATCTCGAACCGTAGCTGTAATACTGATATGATGAAATTTCCAACAACTACTGCCTCAGAAGCTGTTACTAGGCAAAGATCACTCTAACTATTCATTTACTAACCGATGTTTGAATGTATAACATCTTCCACCATGACATTATTCCCTGTTAGTGATCACAGACCACGAGGTCAGGAACTGGGAGCTAAGTGATGCTTTCAGGGACACAAAATATGTCACTGGATGAGCTGGGATGCAGGCCAGGAATCCTAGCTTCCAGCGGTGCAGAATGAAGGCCTAACAGCACATTAGGGAGTGCAAACGTGCTGTCAGCGCCCAGCTGTGCCCCGCAAGCCCCAGCTGTGCAGATCGCAGCAGCCACGCAGCCGAAGCCCCAGCGGTGCAGCTGCACACCCAGAGGTGTAGAGGGAAGTTGATTTCCATAGTGGGGCTGAGGCCCCAAGGCTTTCACAGCTGGGGACTTCATCTGGGGTTGTTTCACCCCACGTCTGTGCAGACGCGGTGCCCGTGGAGCATCTCCCGGCCCCGGCGGGGACCCGCCCGCAGCCGCGGCCCCGCGGCCCTGGCCAGGGTCCTGAAACGACCGCGCCGCTCGGCCTGGGGGTGCGAGAGCATCAGGGCGAGCCAGAGTCCCCACCGGAGGGAGACCCGTAATAGCAGACCCAAACCTTGTGCGACCCACCCGAGATAAGGTGGAGCAGCCCCGTGCAGTTACCAGTGCTCGAAGGACCCTGTCACACCTGATGGTGTTTGGCTAGAAAAATGAGCTTTCTTTGATCTCGAGGTAATCTTTACCTGATAACGTGATGGGGGTCAAAGAGCCAGGCAGAAATACTGTGTTCACCGGGCTACATCCTTGGTAAACATAACTGACACTTTACAGGTACAACCAGTGCTGGGCTCCTCTGCCCAGGCTGTGAAGTAGCTGAGGAGCAGGCAGGGTCATTTCAGAGTATCCTACCACATATCACCGCATGTAGAGAAAGTGTCCATCAGAAAGCTCCTCTTACCATTGTTATGAACTGCAGTTTATCCTGGATACAGAATGAAGAAATTATCAACTACCTCCAAGCCAGGACAGAGAAAACAAGAAATCCCTGTAACCTTTGAGAATAGCGTCTTTTGTAACCTCCAAAGGTTACATGTTTAATTGTGTATCAGGCTCCAGGTATTATATTTGATTCTACAGAAACATTTGTTACTAGTGAATTAAAATAATCATCACTCTGTGTTATAGGATTATGTAGGCTATCCAGGCAGGAATATGGACTCCATTATATTGGAAATCATATTCAAAATGTTAACCACTCTGAAGTGAATTCTCATTTCCCCTGACGAGATTCCCCAATAACCTCCCCCTGTTTTAAAAGGTCCAAGTTTCATTATTATAAGTAGGACCTGAAATATATGAAGCATTTCCACTTTTCCCCCAACATCCACTCTGTAATTATATGAGACACAGATGCTAAAATTATTTTCAGTAATCAAGAGACTGAAAATAATAAACCCTACCTTTCTGCTGCTCTCCTATTTTTTGCTTGTCTAATCCCATTTGAAATCCAGGAGCTCAAAATTATCTAGCAATTTCAAATAGTGATAAAAAAAAAGGAAAATCTGTGTTGATAGAAAGCTTCTATGCAGACTTTGATTTTAAGAAAAGTTGACATCTCTTTTCATTATAGAACCAGACAGTTCCAAGACACAAGCAACTTCTCTTTATAAGAAATACACACTTTTGTCCAGACCTAGACACAATCCTCACCTGACAACAGTGTAACCCAGGTCAGCTCATTCCCAAGCTCTGAATATTCCTGTAAAACAAGAATCCATCTCAGCAATATTCACACTTGGTTGTAACTGTTGCATCTGCTTTGAATTCCAGTTCCCTCATTTGGACACAGAACAAGCAGGAATGACAGGATTCCTTCTTGCTTCAGGAAACAGGGCTAATTTTGTTTACCTGTGGGTCATGAAATATTTAGTGATAGCTTTCTGCAAGTGAATGGAGAAATCCTGATTTAATATTGGTAAGTACTGTTCAAACCTGCCAGCTCCAGTTTCCTTCAGAGAGTGATATTAGTCTGGTATTTTTCCTTGCCTTCTTACCTGAAGCAAACAATAACACTGCTGTTTGAAAGATGCTGTGTTCCTCCATTACAATTGCTTCATTCCAACAAAAATGATTTTCTGAACTAGATGGGTCATTTTTACAGTCTGTAAAAATTGCACTAAGCCACTGAAATCAACATGACTTAGTCCGACCCCCGAGAACAAAATGGAGCTGAAAGAGCTTTAAATTTCTTCTTAGTAAAAGACCTTTTATCAAAATGAAATATCATTACCTCAATGGCCCTGTGACCATTTCAGAGGTATATAAACATTTGCTACCTATCTGTTAGCCATTCAATTACTAAGATCTTGATACTGTGTAAATATTTAACTACAATAGGGGATATAAATCAGAGAAAGTGATTCTGTTTCATTTAACTGGTGGCAGTAAATCACAGCCTATTCAGACTACTGGGCTACACCCAAAGAAATGACTGAGCTGTGAATACAGGCAGACATTACCTAAAATTTCCTGTAAAGGAAGTCCTAATTTA